GCCACTGTGCCAATCTATCTCTAGTGATTTTCCTCTTCTTCATTGACCCTCCACTTTACCAAGCATGATATCCTTCTACAAGGACTGATATCTCCTGGTAACATGTCTGAAGTATGAGAGACAAAGGCTCATATTTCTGTCTTCTGAGGAGCAGTCTGGCTGATCTTCTTCCAACACATACCTCCACTACCATAAATAAAATGCATCGATTCTTCTTTGGACTTCCTTATTCATTGTCTAACTTTCATATGTATATGAGGCTATTGAAAATACCTGACTTGTGTAAGTCACACATTAGTCCTCAAAATTATACTTTTTTTTTTTTTTGAACACTTTAAAGAGGTCTGGTGCAGCAGATTTTCCTAAAGCAATACGTCATTTGATATCTTGGCTGCTGCTTCCATGAGTGTTTATTGTGGATTCAAGCAAAATGAAGTCATTAACAAATTCAATCTTTTCTCCATTTATCCTGATGTCATTTATTGGTCCAGTTGTGAGGATGTTTGTTATCTTTGTATTGAGCTGCAGTCCATACTGAAGCCTGTGGTCTTTGATATTGATCAGTAAATATTTTAAGTTATCTTTAATTTCAGCAAGCAAGGTTTATCATCTGCATCTCACGGGTTGTTAATAAGTCTTCCTCCAATCCTGATGTCACATTATTCATATAATCCAGCTTCTCGGATTATTTGCTCAATTTACAGTTTGAATAAATATGGTGATAGAATACAGCCCTGGCACACACCTTTCCTGATTATAAACGATTCAGTATCACTGTGTTCTGTTCAAATGATTGTCTCTTGGTCTATGTACAGGATCCTCATGAGCACATCAAGTATTCTGGAAATGTTATCCATAGCTTGTCATGATCCACATAATTGAAATCCTTCCCATAGTCAATAAAGCACAAGTAAACATCTCTACTTAAAGTAGTTTCTATTTTAAGCCATGATCCATCTGACACCAGCAATGATATCCCTAGTTTCACATAGTCTTCTGAATCTGGCTTGAGTTTCTGTCAATTCCCTGTTGGTGTACTCTTGTGGCTGTTTTTTAATTACTTTCAGCAATATTTTACTTGCATGTGATATTAATGGGCATAAATAAGGATTTTTTTCAATAGATTGCATAGATGAGTGGAATAGATGAATGAGTACCTCCAGTGCTACATTAGTTTGTTGGTGCTACATTAGTTTGTTGAAAGATTTCAGTTTGTATTAAATCAATTTCTGGAGCCTTGTTTTACACTAATACCTTTAGTGCAGCTTGGATTTCTTCCTTCATTACTATTGATTCTTGATCATTTGCTAACTTTTGAAATGGTTGAACAGCTACCGTTTCTTTTTGGTACAATGACTCTGTGTATACCTCTCTTCTTCTTTTGATTCTTTAGGCATCATTCAATATTTTGCCCATGAAATCCTCTAATACTGCAAGTTGAGGCTTGAATTTTATCTTCAGTTCCTTCAACTTAAGAAATGCAAAACATGATCTGCCTGTTTGGTTTTCTAACTCCAGGTCTTTGCACATTTCATTATAATACTTGACTTTGTAACTCTACTCTAGCTGCCCTTTGACATTTACTTTTCAGCAATATTACTTCCACATTTCTTCCATTAGCTTTAGCATCTCTGTATTGGAGAGAAAGTTACAGAATCACTTCTGATATCCATTTTTGTTTTTTCTTTCTTTCCTGTCTTTTATGGCCTTTTGCTTTCCTCCTGCACGATGTTCTTGATGTCACCCCAGAGCTATTTCAGTCTTCAATCATTAGTATCTAATGCATCAAATCTGTTCTTGAGATGGTCTCTGAATCTAGGTGTGATTTATTCAAGGTCATATTTTTATTATTGTGGTTTTGTTTTAATTTTCTGCATCTTCAGCCTGAACTTGCATGTGAGGACTTGATAGTCTATTCCATAGTCTGCCCCTGAATTTGTTTTGGCTGATGATATTGAGGTTTTCCACTGTATGAAGTCAATTTGATTCCCATGTTTTCCTGTGAGGTCCGTGTTGCAGTAAGTCATTGGACTTGCAGAATCCTATCATCTGCTCTCCAGCATCATTTCTATAACCAAAGCCATATTTTCCAGCTACTAATCTGCCCTCTTTGTTTCCAACTTTCACATTCCAGTCACCAGTAATTATCAATGCATCTTGACTGCATGTCTGATCAATTTCATACTGAATTAGTAGGTGGTTGTTGTTAAGTGCTGTCAAGTAGAATTCTTCAATTTCATCATCGCTGGATTTAGTAGTTGGTTTGTAAATTTGAATAATGTTGGTATTAACTGGTCTTCCTTATATTATATCACAGACAGTGTTGTGTTCTTTTGATGATGAATGCTTCTCCCTTCCTTTTGAATTTGTCATTCCTGGTATAGTAAACAATATGTTTATTATGAGATTCAAAATGGCCAATACCAGTCCATTTCCCAACGGAATGCAGAAATCATTGGACAATATCATTAATATTCCATGTGAATAAAGTTTTACTAAAGGTAGTACAGAAATGGGTGCAACCATACATTGACAGAGAATTTCCAGAGGTTCAAGCGGGATTCAGAAGAGGACGTGGAATGAGGGATATTATTGAGGATGTAAAATGGATCTTGGCTGAAAGCAGAGAATACCTGAATGATGTTTACCTGTGCTTTATTGCCTATGCAAAGACTTTCAATTGTGTGGATCATGACAATCTATGGACAGCATTGCAGAGAATGCGTATTCTGAGATCACTTAATTTTCTCATGAGGAACTTGTACATAGACCAAAAGGCAGTTGTTCAAACAAAACAAGGGAACACGGAATGGTTTAAAATTGGGAAAGGTGTGAGACAGGATTGTATTCTTTCACCATGCTTATTCAACCTGTATGTTGAGCAAATAATCCAAGAATCTGGGTTATATGAAGAAAAACATGGCATCAAGATTGGAGGAAGACTCATTAACAACCTCCAACAGATGATGGAGTCCTGGTGTGGTGCTGTGGGTTAATGTGCCAGACTGCAAAGTCATTTGAACTGCAAGGTCAGCAGTGCATGCTCACCAGCTGCTTCTTGGAAACCCTATACAGGGTTGCTATGGGTCGGAATCGACTCGACGGCATTTAACAACAACAACAACAATGTACAGATGATACAAAATAGCTTGCTGAAAGTGAAGAGGACTTAAAATACTTACTGATGAAGATCAAAGACCATAGCCTTTGGTATGGGTTGCATCTCAATGTAAAGAAAACAGAAATCCTCACCACTGAACCAATAAACAAGATTCTTACCAATGGATAAAAGTCTGAAGTTGTGAACACTTCATTTTGCTCGGATTAACCATCAACATTCATGGAAGTAGCAGTCAAGAAATCCAATGATATATTACATTAGGCAAATCTGCTGCAAAAGACTTTTTTAAAGTATTGATGAGCAAAGATGTCAGTTTGAGGACTAAGGTTCACCTGACCCAAGCCATGGTATTTTCAATAACCTCATATGCATGTGAAATTTGGACAGTGAATAAGGAAGACCATAAAAGAATAGATGTATTTGAGTTATTGTGTTGGAGGAGATTATTGAAAGTACCATGTACTGCCAAAAGAACAAGTAGATGTGTGTTGAAAGAAGTACAGGCAGAATACTCCTTGGAGTCCATGATGACCAGACTTTGTCTCTCATCCTTTGGACATATTGTCAGAAGGGACCAGTCAGTGGAGACGAATATCATGTTTGGTGAGGTCAGAGAAGATGAGAAGACCGCCAGCGAGATAAACTGGCACATTGGCAGCATCAGTGGGCTCAAACGTAGTAATGATAGTGAGGTTGGCCCAGGACTAGGCAGTATTTCATTCTGTTGTGCATAGGGTCACTATGAGTTGATACTGACTCAATGGCACCTAACAACAACAACAACACCTAGGATATCAATCTTTATGTGTTCCATTTCATTTTTGACAATTTCCAATTTTCCTAGATTGTTACTTCACTAATTCCTCGTTCTCGTTATTAATAGATATTTGCAGCTGTTTCTCCTTATTTTGAGTTGTTCTCCATCAGCAAATGAAGGTCCCGAAAGTTTTACTTCATTTGCATCATCATGGTAAACTCTTTGATGAGGCAGTTGTATTTGAGTGCTTTCCAAACTGCTGGGCTCATCTTCTTTAATTATACCTTGCAATATTCTTGTCCTATTCATATTTTTTCATCTTCCATCATTATATCTGTCAATGTTCTGCTGCTATTCATAAGCTTCTCAGTGGCTCTACATTCAGAAGTAGTCTGCCTCTCCTTCTTCCTTGTTTATCTTTTCACTGAAACCTGTCCACCATGGGTGACCCTGCTGGTATTTAAAATACCAGTGGCATATCTTATAGCATCATACCAACACACAATTCACCACAGCAAGACATACTGTCACACAGGTGGTGTGACACCTGTGTGTCACACCATATGATTCAGAAAGTCTAAAATCTTTATTATCTTGTGTCTTATAGAAAAAAAAATAGCTGATCCCTATTCTGGTGGTCCTGCAGCCTATGCACTGGACTGTTAACTGCAAAGTATCAGTTCAAACCCACCAGCCACTTCATGAGATAAAGATGAGGTCATCTGCTTCCATAAAGATTTACAGCCTCATAAACCCTATGCAGGGATGCTATGAATCGAGATTAATAAATGACAGTGTTCGTGTGTTGTTGTTTTTTAATCATAGAGAATAATCCTTGGATGTGGGCCTATTAGACAGTGTTCCAGTATAACATTGAATGGATATTAAGCCATCATTTTGCCTTATTTCCAATTTTGTGTACTTTTTATCAGTACCATCTCTATCCTGAGTTAAATCCCTTACTCCACACTTCAATAGCTCAAAGAACACTGCTCCTCCTTCTCAAGTTCCAGCCAGTGATTACTGCTCCCTCCTAATGGAAAATCCAAATTGCTTTCTAGGCTTAGCCATAGCCTAGAAAACTCTAATCATTGTCTTTCTTTGTCCTGTACCCCCCACCAGGCTTGCTTGTCATGTCACCAGCAAATTCATCGAAATGCACCCATATGCCCTCTCTGTAAAGCCAAGAGCCGGTCCAGGAACCCCAAAAAGCCAAAACGGAAGCAAGATGAATGAAGAAAGAGAGAGCACATAACCCTTCTTCTAGGCCACGGTAATTGATGTCCTGATGTGAAACAACCCTTTCCCACTTCAACCAAGTCTCCTATTTATTGTGATGGAAGCACAACCCCTCTCTCACTTTGTTCGTACTGGTATTTCTTTCTCATCTTGGGATTTCTGGAGTTCTAGTGTGATGCTGTAGGATAAGCACTGGACTTCTAAGCACAGGGTTAGTGGATCAAACCCACTAGCTGCTCCTTGGAAATCCTATACAGGGTTGCTATGAGTAAGAACTGATAGCACTTAACAACAAGTTGGGATTGCTAGTTTAAGAAGAGAGGTGCTTATGAGTGTCTGGTGATTCTTTCTCTCCCATTATCATCTCAACCCCTCCCCCTCCCATTGTTTGGAGCTGAGGGATGGATGGACAGAAGGCCAAGATTTGATCTCTTGTCTCTTGTGCCTGAGGCCAGTGGCCTAAGGATCTGTAAGGTTTGAGGGCTGGGGGTGGGGGGCATATCTTGTTCCAAGTGAAGACCGCAGTGTGCCCCATGTCTTAGGCTCTGAAGATGCTTATTGGACTTCCCAGCAGACTTGGTGCATATATCTTCCCCATCTTCATGCCATCCTTAAAGTTCAGAAGTATCTTAGACAGGTCTTCCTTTTCATTTTTATTTAGGATATCTGGCTGTTGTTCTAAAGTCCTCCTCCTCCCAACTCCTTTCCACAAATATATGAAGGTTTTCTGGCACTGGTTGTGTTTGGGGATCCTGGAATCTGTAGGTCTTCTCACATAGCTCAAGCAAATCAGTCCTACAAATTCCCCACAGTGAAATCAGGGAATCAGATCTACTCTGCAAGCCCTGCCTAACTCAGCAGTCACAGGGGCTGAGGAATCTGCATTAGGGACTGCCTTAGGTTGAAAAGAGCCCAGGTTTATATTATTTAGCTTTTATTAAAACTATTAACCTTGCACCTGATTCATTGTATATCTTAGGAGTCAGATGAGAAGTTTAGGATTCAGATGGATGGCAGTCACTTTACATGTGCACATGAGTGGGATTTCGTCTCCATTCTGCTTATATAAGGCAGCCTCAGTTCAGGACAACTGCTGGCCACCCTTTTTCTATAGATTTTACAGGTGGTCTCAGTGTTGTACCTTCCCTTCCAAAAGAAAAGGCACTGAGCTTCCCAAGCTCCACATCTCTATTCTCCATCAAATCCAGGTCTCTAGTCAGTCACTTTCAGACTTAAGAGGCAGGAATGGAGCTTGCCTGATTGAAAAAAATTTTAGCCCCAAATCTTAGTCCCTGGGTAGGGAGTGGATTTTTTCCCTTCCTTCCTTAACTATTGTTTTAAGTTGTTACAGTGTCTGTGTGTTTACAATATAAAAGATTCCTCTGCTCTTTGAAAGTGTGTCATGTCTGTATAAATTCTTTTAAATAAACATTTGTTTATTGGAGTAAATACTAACTGAGTGTTTACTGTTTACTAAGCAATACAAAATGTGTAATGCCATTTAACCTGAATAGCTCTCTTTTTGGTTAGCTCTTCGACACTCAAATTCAGCCTTACAAATGAGGAATCAGGCACACCACGGCACAAAAATTTACCAATTATTACAATAATTTCTATACCTGTTCTCTGCAGTGTTCTTTATATAAATGATTGCATTTGACTTTCAAAACAACCTTGTAAGCTAGTATTCTTGTTACTATTTTCCAACAACGACAGTTGAAACTCAGACAAGTTCAGTAAAAGAGGAAATTTTAGGGCTTGTACCCAAATTTGTCTGATTCTAAGTCTATTGTTTTCAGCTTCCTCTCCGTGATCTTTAATATTAGTAATTTTTTTACCTTTAACATTTTATTCCTTTTTGGGATGGCTTGAAGTAACTGTGGACTAGAAATCAGGGAATAGGAATCCAATAAATAATTGATGCATGCACATAAAGGCCTGACCTCCTTTATGGGACCAACTCTGAAGGATCATTCCAGCTTCAGAACTTCCTGTAGGGTGGACCAAGACTTCCATCTAGAGTCTAGAGTGTCACAGATCAATATCTCCCTTTGCCCAATCCTGCTACCTTCCCTTCCCTTCCACAGTGTTGATCTCCAGTGTACTCCTAAAATAATTGTCTGTACACTAACCTGTCCCAGTGCTTCCCAGGGAACCCATTTCTATCTCTGGAATAGTTTGAGTAAAATTGGTATCAGCTCTTCTCTGAATGTTTGGTAAAATTCACCAGTCAAGCTTTCTAGGCCTGGACATTTCTGGGGGGAGTTTTTTTTATGGCTTGCTCAATTTCTTCTTTTGTAGGTTTGTTCAAGTTGTCTACTTCACTCTGTGCAGTTTCGGTTGGTTGTGTTTTTCTAAAATTGTATGTATTTACTCTAGGTTTTTAAGTCTGTTGCAGTATAACTCTTCATACTATTCTGTTATTATCCCTTATTATGTTTCATTTCCATATCCTTGCTGTAGGGATACCTCACATCTTTTCTGCCTAGTCTGCCATCTTTTTGTCCTGCCTCCATGAACTTTTTGAAGTCTATTTGTGTTTTTATGTGATCATGTGATCAGCAAATAGAGATAATCTTTCTTCTTTCCTGTTTGCATGACTTTTTATTTCTATTTCTTGCCTGGTTTTTGTGACTAGAATTTCCTAATACAATATTGTATGCACATCATTATTTTTCAAGGAATTGGTTCATTTCATCTAAGTTATGCATGCATAGAGTTATTTATAATATTCATTTATTGTCTTTTTAATTTCCCTGTGTTCCATATCATTCCTGATATCAATAATTTCACTCTTCTGTTTTCTTGGTTAGCATGCTAGAGGTTTATTGATTTATCCCTGATCATATCAAGGAATCATATTTTGGTTTTAAAAATTTTCTATTTTAGAGGCTAGGGTAGAGGTGCAGTGAGGTTCATTATCAGCAATACCACAGACTACCAGGCAAAGCAGATTCACGGCAGAGCTCCAAAACTCTGAACCAAATAGATAGGAGTACATAAAAGGTTTGAAGGCTTTTACCTAGTGGAACTTGTAGCAAAAGTAAGAAATCGTGTACTTTTGAATCTGCCGGGCTCGGTGGCTTGGAGCCAACAACTTGGAAGAGACCAAACAGCAAGACCAAGCGCGGAGAGGAGACGCATCACGGATAAACACCACAGGAACCTTGGAGCAAAGGTGGACAATATACTTTGTTGGTTTTTCTTTATTCTGATTTTCTTTTCTTTTCTTTTTTTTTTGGTATCTGTACATTGGCCCCCCACTATTTGCACACTTCCATTCTGGTGACTAGAGAGGGGTGCCTGAGCAATTAGACACCCCCCAACCGCACCACTGGTGGGTTCTTCTGCCATGCATGTGCACAGGTACTCTCATTCAAAGAGCCAAAACTGAACTGTTTTTTGTTTTTTTTTTCATACAGAAAAGCCAGACCAATGGGTATGGAAAGGGAAACAGAGTCTAAAACCAAAAATTAAATTGAATCCTGAGGTACAGCATAACAACCAACAGTGGCATCTTAAAATCTTTCAGGCCGCTTTGAAGGCAAGAAGCTGAAAGAGGACATTAATGTCATACTCATACTAGGCTACAGTTTTTTTTTTATTTTCTTCTCTCCCTCCTCTCTCCCCTTAATTCCCTTTCTAGAATTATAGACTACATTGTCCACTCTAGTTTTTGGTGTGTTGTTTTGGTGAGTTTTTTTTTTTTTTTGCAGGGGGGGATGTTGCTGTTTTATTCTTCCCCTTCTACTTTTGGGGAACTCTTTCTCTCCCTATATTATCCAAGAAGAGACAGCAACTGCTGCAATATAGTCAAGTTACCATCACACTCTATAAAACACCAAACCCCAAGCAAAAACCAATACTAACTGCCAAATACCAAGGAGGCAGACAACACATGTGAAAGTTACTCTGAATTAAGCAATAAGAATAGTGAAAAGGGAAGCCCACATCCTGATCACATCTACCTGGAAGCAATCAGAAAGCATAAAAAATACCAAAACACATGATCAATTCAGTATTAAGGCCACAGATAAACATTAAACATGTCCAAGAAGCAAAAGCAGATAACCATATCAGCACATATCCAGAACAAGATAAAATGTCTGAGAACAATGTCCTAGAGGTAGATCTGGGCTCCATTCTGGAAGGAACACAGTCCTTGGAAATTCCCAAGAAGGAATTCAAAAAAATGATTATAAAATGTTTCAAAAACTTTACAATAGAGTTGAGAAAAATAAGGAAGAAGTCAGGAAAGCTCTACAGGAACAATCAAATAAGATAGGGACAGATGTGGAAACCAATCAAAACTTACGAAAGAGGTCCAAATGGTCAATAACAGAATATCAAAAATAGACAATATACTGAAAGGTCAAAGGATTAGAATAGAAGAGATGGATGGCAGAACCGGTGAACTGGAAGACAAATCTCTCAATACCACTAAGATAGAAGAACAAACACAGAAAAAGGATTAAAAAAATCTGAAGAAGGTCTAAGATTCATGGTGGACAACATAAAGAGGAATAACTTAAGAATTATCGGTATTCCAGAGCAAGAAGAATCACACAAGTCCACAAAGGAAACAGTTGAAGAACTGCTGGAAGAAAATTTCTCTAATATCCTGAAAAGTGAAAAGATAAACATTCAAGAAGCTCAACGAACCTCAGAAAGGAGAGACCCAAAAGAAAATCACTAAGACATATCATAATTAAGCTCTCCAAAATCAAAGATAAGGAGACACTCCTGAAAGCAGCTAGGGAAAACAGAAGTGTTACATACAAAGGCAAGCGAGTCAGATTAAGCTCAGATCTCTCAGCAGAAACCATGTGAGCAAGAAGGCAGTGGCGACACATATAAAACCTTGAAAGAAAAAAAATTGTCAACCAAGAATCCTTTATCCAGTAAAGCTATCAATCAAATATGACAGTGTATTCAAAACATTCCAGGATAAACAGAAGCTAAGGGATTTTGCCAAAGCCAACCCTGTGCTACAAAACATCCTAAAGGGAGTTCTGTGGACTGAGAACCAACAAGAACAGACAACAGCCAGAGATTGACATACATGCAGCACCTCCCAGAACTAAATCAACAGAAGCAAGAGTCAAGAACAGAAGAAAACTATAAGAACAAACTCAGAGAATCTGGGAGGTCAGTCTATGATCA